TCTGCTTTTAATTCCATGTTTAGTTTTTAACTTCATACTATTTAAATTTTGTGGTCACTTGAAGTCATCAAAGATTTCCACTGATTTTTAGGTGGTACAGACAGCAGTCAGAATTGGCTTTTTTCTCTGTTGCCAGGGCAAAAGGAGATAGGAGTGCTATGTCAAAGCCTTAGGGCTTTTTCTGTTTGATTACCAGCACATTTTACTGAGCATTTCAATGGGTCTGGTTTTGAAAAGAGCAGGAGCTTGCTTTCCTGCCAAACATTATCAAATTTAACATGCATTTTGACATATCACAACTTAAATATTAGCACATAGAAATGACTAGTTGGGTGCTTTGCAGGTCATTTGCCTGTGTAGGCACGTTGATTAAGAGAACATAGAACTGAAGGGCGTTTTCCAGAAACCAAAGGGCAAATCCTGTCATAAACTGAACTTCTACAGCTCTCTGTTAGCAATAGAAGTGGTGCATTTACTCAGTGCTTATGCTGCACGTAGTCTTTTGTTTTAATCTTACGCTAACTGCACAGTGGTGATACTACTTCTTTTCATTTCATCCTTCCATTTTCCATTTTAATATGTTTGGCTTTTATGCCTTGTTTTAGTTTCCTTTCCAAAGGCTGACTAGCACAATTTTTGAATTAAATATCCTTGCTTCATCAGTTGGCTTTGACTCTTTTGTTTGGATGCTAAATATTCCAAACGGGACAGGCTGTCCTTGCCGTTTGAGTGACCTGACCTGATCAGTGACCTGATCTTGTAGTCTCCTTGTTGCTTATGTTCTTGCTCCTAACGTTTTTTTGAGATGCTTACTCATTCAGTTAATTCTTCAGTCATTTTCACAGGATTTTCCACTGTGTTGAGGATATAAATCTTGCAATTTTAACTTAAAAGAAATTTGACACCTGAAGTGTCAAACATGTGTAAGTCCTTAAATGTGTTAAACACGAAAGCAAGAATTTGTACTGTTCCCTTCCCTAAGTGATCCTACAGAGCTATCATCAGTCTCTGTAGGAGAAGAGGTCCTGAACCATGACTGGCCCCCTGCATCTTCTTTACAGCAACAACTGATCCTGAGCTGAGTGCCAGTTTTCTCATGAAGGAGGAGTTGTAAGGCATCTTGCAGCTCTCCCAAACTCTTCTGAACATGTGAGCAGCGAGTCATAACCAAGCAGTATCCTCGCATGTCAACAGCGTCGTGGCAAGATAGATCAGGATAATCTAAACCTGAATTTACAGCAGGGTTTTAAAGCTCCCCTTACAAGTAATACCTCGTTATGAATTTCATTAATATTCTATGTTTATACAAGACAATTTTATTTTCCAATAATGAATTTACTTGTAACCTTCAAAATACAATGCTATCTTTTGTTTCATGAACCTCAGTTTCACAGTGCTGCTTAGTTTCAAGGAGTGACTTATAAGCCACAGTATTTGCTTTAAGTAAGTGCTTCTGATGGATATTTGGAGCTTTGTGTTTTGTTGATGAATGACCCTAACTTATAATCTTGCTGGAGGATTTGCAACAGGATATCCTGCATAACAAGTGACATATGGTGATTTTAACAGCCAAACAAATGAGCAGCTGTATAGGTTTTTCTTCTAGAGTTGCCTTTTCCAAGACCTCAGTCTGTGATATACCTCTTATTTTGATCCTAACACAGTAAACTTTCTTTAAAATAAAATGAAAACATGAGAATATACTAGTCCATTCATAAATACTCTGTTTTCAAGAAACAATGCAATCCCTCATTTAGCTTTGATAACTGGCTCCACCTTCTGGGGACTGGACATACTTACTAATTGTGAACAAGAATTTTCACTGTAAGCAAGGAATAATGATTGTTACGGATAACTTAATATCACATGAGGATATAGTTTTATCTTCTTTCCTTTTGGCAACTACAATTCTATTTATATTCTATAATAAAATAATTTATCTTTCCTTAGTCATTAGGGTAAGGTTTCCTACAAGCTTAAAACTTCTGTTGTTTTCTACAAAGCAAAATATGTATGTAAGTAAAGCACTGTATTCTTTGGGACATTAAATACTCAGTAGGATTTATTTTTAATATATTTTGCATGATGTCCTTTAACGAAAAAATGGCCTTGAGAATCTCAAATCTTTGAATTTCTTCTTAATATAACTATTACAGACAAAAATGACTTTTGTAGTAAATCGTTATTGCAAACATGTAGTCTCCTCCCAAAAAAAATCCTTGTGGAAAAATGATCTTGAAGCTACTACAGTATGTGTGCAAAATAATTGGGAAGATTGTAATAAAAGGTAGTTATCTATTGTGTACTGCCGACCTGGAAGGCTGCGTGAAGTAGAATCCACTTACATTTGTTCTGGGTGCAATATTACTCAATATTTTCATTATTGACTTGACTTGTGAAATATGGATGGTGCTTATAAAATTTGCAGATGCTTAAAGCTGGGAGAGGCTTAAGCACCATGGGAGCAGGATTGGAATGGATCTTGATGAAATGGAGCACTGAAATACTAGGATGTAGTTCAATAAGGACAGGTACAAATTTATGTTCCTAAAGAAGCAGAAATACACAGTGTGGCTTGACTGCTTAAGCGACAGCTCAGTAGAAACAGATGTAAGTGTTATGTGACTTGTGGCCAGTATATGACCTTCTTCTTTTATGAAAAAGAGTCTTGGTAAAGCTCTTTGGCCCTATCCATAGAACCTGTAATAGCAAATTCACATAGCATGGCTACTTCTAGAAATTTGGCTTTTTCTCTCTTGCCCTGGCTGTCAGTGTCCTTGCAGGATCGTTGGCTGTGTCGGTATCTAGCTCTGCTTTCCCATGAAAGTGGGACAGATGTTTATTAGCTGTACCCTCAGGTTTACTTTAAAGTGGCCAAGTATGATCTTTTTCATTATTTGCTCAAGTCAGAAGCTGCCAACAAACTCTGTTCTTATCACATACAGCCCTGTTCACTGGTTTAGTATGCGTTACATCTTTTAATCTCATTCTGCTGCAGTTGCTTTCCTTGGCATTTATTGATTGATTAATTTAATAAATTACTATAATTTCAGACTAGAAAGGAGAGTTTAGATTGGTCTGTCTAGTCTGACTTGCAGTATATCACATCTTGTCGTCTACCTTATTTCTAAATTTGTGTCTCACAGCAACCTCCAGCCTTTAGTGGGTTTTTTTTTGCTTTTATTCCCTAGAATAAACATCCCTGTTAGTACTTGTTATTTTCTCCTTATAAAGAGGGGAAATCAAGTTGCTGCTCAGCCTTTTTTGTAGGCTTAAGGAGATTAAACTCTAAATCTTGGTAGCTCTCTGCTGCAAGCTCTCCATTTTTTTTCAGCACTGTCTTTAAAATGTGTACACCAGAGCATGGCATGCGGTGTATCAGTGCTCTCTTAGTCAATAGCAGGTATAAAATCACCTCTTTTTGCTAGAGCATGAAACTGGGGATGGCTTATGTTCTGTTTTGTTCACGGTGACTCTAACTTCATAACTGCTGTTTTTCAGGGAACAGTTCTTCCGTTAAATACTTCTTTAAGTATTACTCAGACTTAAATGTGTATGACTGTGTTAAAACACACATTGTCTAACCAAAAGGACATTATTTGCAAAGGAACCCAAGTTGTTCTCTGTGACTGCTCCGTCCTTGTTCCTGTTCCCTCTTCTCTGCACCTTATTTTTTTGCAATTTATCTTGGCTTTCAAAGTTCTCTCCAGTTTTCTTGGCTACAGTTTTATTCATTTACATATTTTTTCTGAAGCATAGCCAAACTGACTTTGCAACAGGCAGCTATGTCTTCCTGCCTAAAGAAGTTCTTCAATACTAATGAATCTTTCATTGGCCTGACTCAGAGTGTTACCTGAAACAACGTGCTGTTATCTTCCACCTAATTACAATTTAAATAGAACAGATTTTAATTATCATTGATTCTTAATTACACTAATCTACAGAAAATATGAGTCAGTGATGGACTGTATTAAGTCAGTTACACTCCCTATTTGTATATAGATTCTTCTGGAGTGTTGATTTCTTTTTAATTTAAAACTGTAAACAATGAAACTGAGATGGAGATTCTGAAGGAGGGTGCTTTTATATTATTATTTATTATTATTATTATTGCTACTTGTTCAACTTAAAGGGGTAGGCAAAACCATATGCAACTACAATGCAGGTCTGATTTCATTAAATTCTGAAGAATGCAGCTTGGGTAGTTGGACAAGTTTGACTAAGCTGTTCTGATTTTACTCCATTCCTAGTTATCACTTCATTTCATTTGTAATGTATTAAGGAGTCCCATTTTCAAGCATTTCACTAGCTTGGTTTTTTTTCTGCCATTCCTAGCATATACTTTAACAGAGCAAAACATATTACAAAACACTTCTAAATCTCTCTTACTCAAAGTGACATTATCTCTAAATATTTAAAAAGAACAATATAGACAGAAGCTAAAAAAAAAAGGCAATGTGACCTGAAGGTTAGTATTTTTCCAGCTTATACATTTAATAGATAATATCCTTCCAGTTATCTATTTATTCTTCTGTTTTGCCTTCTAGCAGCCACTTTCTTTAAATACACCTCCCTTCCCCCCCTCCCTTTTTTTTTTTTTTTTTTCTATAGTACTTCATTTGCTTAGAGAGCAAGTTGTCAGTGCTGGAAAGAACAGATCTTCATCTCCACTGAATTCATCTTGTGCTAAATGAGTTTTCACATGTATCCTTGTGTACTCTGTTTATGACACTTTAATGCAAGTTTTACAGGGAAGTTAGGTCTGTTAACAAGTTGGATTCAGGCCAAGGATTTAGCCTCAGTCTCAGTGGTAAGCTGGAGTCCTACATCTAAGCGTGTTCTCCAGTGGCATTTGCGGTACCACAACGGTTAGGATAGAGTTGCAGGGTCATTTTAAAGTGTAGGATGATGTACACAGCTACCACAGCCCTGTTTATGTTCTGAAAAGGTTATTTGCTGCAAGTATTCTGTTCTGGAATGGGTGATCTGTCTTGTTCTAGGTGACTGGTATGAACAGCTTTATCCCTTGGTGATTACGCTGAAGGACTGCATGGGAGAGGTGGTGACCAGGGCGAAGCAATCGATGGCGTTTGTTCTGCTCCAGGAACTTGCCTGTGGTTTGCCACAATGTTTGATGCTGACTCTAAGAAGAGACATCGTCTTTAGTCAAGCAGTAGGTTGTCTTATGTCTCTTATATCCTACTGTTGCTATAGTTAAGCATACTATTCATGCCAGTGTTTGAGGTTTTCTTTGTTGGTTTTTTTTTTTCCTTTCAATTTAACACAACTTTTTCATCTATTTTCCATTACATCCACTTAAATATTTTATAATGTGATAGAGAAATTAATAGTAAATGGAAAGTAACTATCACTGAGTCAGAGAAGTAGGTCAGCAATGGACTGGAAAAGGTTACCTAATCTCCCTTCTGCGCAGAGAAGGAGCTATAAAGCTACTTTTAGTCTTCCTAGACTATATGCCAGTGTCATCACCCCTAGGTGAAGTTCTCAAGTCTAGCCTTGAATACTTCTTGTTGCTATTCAGGTTAGGTATTTTTTCTCCTGGTCACCTTGAAATTAAGAACAGATTATTTGTTTTCCATTTGTAGCAGTATTTTATGTGTTTGAAGACTATTAGCATGTCTCTTCTCAGACTTGTTTTCTCTTGGTAAATAACAGAAGTTCTTTTGATCATCTCCTTTAGGTGATGTTTTTGAGACAGATTTTTCTCTAAATGATTTGTGTAATTTCTCCCTTAAGTTTTACGTTTTTCCTAGCATAATTATGGAGTTAGAGTGCAACTGACAAGGAGATTCAGTTGCATTAGGTGCCTAAATGCTTTCAAGTCCATCATAATTCACAGCCTTATGTGTTTATAGCCTACCGATGGAGGTTCTGGTCTCGCTTATGTCAGTATAAATAACACACAACCCCACCAAATAAATGAAGTTATCTAATGTAAAATAAGGGAATATTTCACCTTTTTGCACCAAAAAATGCCTCAGTAATATATTAGTATAAAATAATGTATGTAGTCACTAAACAGAAATATCTATGCTGTTTTCTCAAATATCTAAATATTACTTCCATTGTGTATAATGACAACAATTAGCAATTAACTATGTTATAATAGCACATCTGTTAATTTCACATTTTTTATTGTCTTTATAGCTCGCCGGATTGGTCTGTGGGTTTATAATCAAATTGCACACAGGTTTAAATGATCAAGGATTTTTACAACAGCTTCATACTGTTGGATTGCTTGTGCAATATGAAGGACTCCTTAGTACATATAGTAAGTATTGTTCTTGGACAAAGTTCCTTACGCATCTAGACCAGAAGTTTAACAAGGAGGTTCTTACTTTGGCTTATTGAATCAACAAATATTATCTTTAGGAGACAGTAGGCTTCTATATAATAGCATAGTTATTGATAGTCATTGATACTGTGTTGTCAATTCTGCATCAAAAATTACTTATTTATTTTATTCTCAATTCCTCTGACAATACTGGTTGCTAATTATTCCATGCAGAGTGCTGAACTACATTACCTTAAATGCAGGAGACTCCTTCCTCAGTACAGCTAGTGGAACTTTTGGGTTTAATGAAAACTGTCTCCATTTGCATAGGCATTTTGGCCTGACCCAAAATAGCACGTTTATGAAGTGAACCCAAACGGCAGATTTAAACAGGACTCTACCAGCCTCTGCCCTGACCATGCCACCATTGGTGATGTGAAGGTGCCTTGAAAACTGTTTAATTTCTAGCTTGTTACAGATGCCATCATCTGATAGCTATTGAAAAGGACATTTGAAGGGAGAAACAATCATATGTTTCAAAATGCTTTGAGCTAGATGTATTGGAATCTTTCCCCAAATTTGAGATTTTGACCAAAGTAGAGGGACTTAGCATTTGTGCAGCTCTTTAATGCACAGGTAATTGCAGATCCTCGATTGGAGGTTGCTGTCAGGCCCCCTTTTGCGTGATACTCATTGTTGTTATTCACAAAACCTTTGTCCTCCATCAGCAGGACAGTCTTTAAAAACACTTTCAGAACAGACAAAAATGGCTTTTTTGAGGTTATTCTATGCACATACGGAGCAGGCTGATTTTCAGAGGTGCTTAATATTCCTAGTTATCATTTAGGCTGCAGAGAATTGTCAGCAGGTCTAAAAATCAGTCTGCTTTTATGTAGGTTACTTTAATGTGGATTTAGGGCTGTGATTTTCAGATGCACAAGCTGGAAAATATAATCCCCGTATTGCTTTACTATAACCTATTCAGTGACCGATCTGTCTACCCTGTTAATAACCTCTGTAATCTTTCCACATAGGTGAAGAAGCAGGGATGCTAGAAGACATGGCTGTGGGAATTTCAGATTTACAGAAAGTAATGTTTAAAGTCATTGAAGCCAAATCAGAAGATTTTTTGCCTATTATAACTGGAAGACGGTAAGAACTTTGTTTCCTGGAGCCCATGGCATGTAGTTTTAATCTGTAGCACATGAAAACCCAGATAATTGTTTTCTTGTTGCTTAATTCTATTATATGGAAAGTGCAGTAGTTTTACTTTTCTGAGTTACTTTCCTGATGAAAAGCTAAAAGGTCCAATTATTAATACCAATTAATCAAAACAGTGTCTGGGTTTTGCAGTTTCTGTTACATTTTTCATATATAGATACTGAATCAAAGAGAGAAGGTGAGGTCAATATTTACCAAAGTGGCCTCTAACTAAAGAAACCTTGTTTTTGAGGTGTCTAGAACTTGTATTTCAGTGTGACAGATGAAATTGCATTTCTAAGAGTTAGGCCTTGATCGTCTTAAGATGGAAACTGAAAAACTCAAATGCCAAAACTTAGTGGTCACTTTTGAAAAATGAAGCCTGTGATAGTTGCTGAAGATCCCACGGGACATGCACAACCTCAGAAATCCTTGCATAAAGCCACTAATATGGTATGTATCACACATAAGCACTGCTGAATATCAGGACATAAACTGAAATAATTAATTGTGGCTATAAGAGGGTTAACAAGATTGTTACAGAGGAGGAAAGGGCTTTTCATCTTCATTGTTATTCTCGTCTGAAGCTCCAAATGTTTTTGTTTTTGCAGAAATCACTTCCTTAATAGTATCATTATTCTTAAGATGACTGTAAATGAAATTCAGCTAAAAGCAGCAACTTTTAGAAAAGATGTGTTTCTTCTGAAGGCGGCTTTCACCACCAATTTACTTAATTATTCTGGATGATTCACTTTTATCCTATGGGCCTTCTGAGAAAGGATTGAAATAAATAGCAGGAAGGCTGGAGTATGACAGGCAACACGTCGGGAATCATTAAGAATAATTATGGTGTGTAGATAAAACAGAAGAAATACATCCTTTGTAAATCACAGCGGTCAAAAATCTTTAAAAATCCAGTAGCTACATTTACTGGCTCGCTGCCATTACTGTGGTACACTGAACTGTCATGCTGGGAGGTCCTGGATTTGAAAGAGACTCGAGCTTTAAGCTGCCTTAGGCATTCTGGATTGATGGAGTAGTCAGTCTTTAGGAAGAATAGTTACTGCCTGTGATTGCTGTACTGTACTTACTGGCAGGTATTCACTGAATGGAATTGGTATCAGACAAAAAAAAAAAAAAAATCTTTAAGGCTTATGTGGAGGAGCCCAGTTCCTGTTAAAGCTGTGATGATACAGCTCCTATCAGACAACACTGGAAGTCAACCATAACAAGAGATGACAGAGGAAAACCTAGTTATTTTAAATTAATGTTGAAAAACCCCACAATTTTCAGATCATTTGGTTATATGGTATCTTTTTATATCTATATATATATATTATATGATGTGGCTCAATAAAATGATACTAAAAGACAGTAGAAGTGCAAGACAGAAAATTAAGCTACAAATTCTTACCTTGCAGAGTAAGAGTATTCACTTGTAATTGTTTTTCTAGGGAAGTGCTTAAAACCGAGATTCTATGTACACAAACAAATCAATCCAAAGAGCCATGGCATTGACTAGCAGTGCGCTAACCTGCTTATGTGGGTGGCTGACCCCGACCATCCAGGTGAAGTGAAGTTCTGTTCAGGCACTTGGGTTCTTTTGTAATAGGCAAAAGTAGTTAACACTTACTTTTATAAAATTCTTTGGTAGAGCATATTTGATTGTGCACATGAACTTTGAGGCATCACACGGTTCAATACCATGTTTTCAATGAAGCCCACGACCAGACTAGTGCTAACAGCCACATTGGTCTAAAAAGTTGTCACTTAGCTGAAAGAAGAGCTGGGTAAAGCACCTCCCAGCTGAGATGAAATGACTGCCTCACTGTGTACATTTATTTTCTGTTACAAAGCAAAGCAAAGATGCGTGTAAATGACTTGGTTTGTGTTTATTGCATAGAGCACACGATTTCAGCCAGCTGCAAGTAGCTGCAGGGTCTGTGGCCCTCAGCTGCAAGGGGTTAATTTTTAGAAGCCTTCTAACAGGACTGCAAGTGTTTTTCTATCTTCATATGTGATGATAACAAATATTAGAGAATAACGCAAATAAAGTCAAAGAAAGGGATATTCTTAGGCAGTCCTGTTTTAGTGAAATCATATGCATTTAAATATTTCATACCTAAATTTATACAATTTGTTCTGAAAAAGAAGATGATTTATTACTTACTCTCTTAAACATGCTGGATTTCTCCACCCTGTTTTCCTGAGAGATCATTAAATATTAAAAATTATGTACTGATTTTTCCTTCTCATTGGAACATGTAGTAGCCACCTTATCCATCTCGTGCCAAAATCACCTGATACCTCCACACTGAGTCTAGCCATAAAAGAGAGAAACCACATGGCAGTAAACTTTACTGCTGTATTACTGTTTCTTATTTAAATAGAAGCATAGGACCTGTAAGATTTTTGCTATATTATTGTCAAATAAGTTCTCCAGCTTTCAGTACTCTGAATTCTTTTTCTCCCTGCCACCCCTACCTGACTTCAGTACCATTCCTGGGCTTTCTAGATGGCTCTCTGTTACAGCTTGATAGCCTTTTCCTTACATCATCAGTGGGTTGTTTTCATTGTGCAATTGGTTACAGATTTTTAAAAGTTACCAAGGATTGTCTCTGAGACTTCAAAAAATGTTTTACGGAAAAAAAACCTAAGGGACAAGGGGAAGCTCTCAAATGGTACCGATGTTAATTTATCTTGCCTAAAGGTCAGCATTTCTCCATGTTCTTTCACACACTGAAAGATTTGTAGTGATTTTGGGGGTGTGAAATGTAGCAATGCAGTGATTTGGTGACATTTTGGTTCAGTAGCATATGCTCTTTGAATTAGACTAAACCAACATTTCTTCTCAACCTCATCTCAGCACTCCATCACAGGAAGATGTCCTGGTGGCGTTTGACAGTAGCTAGGAGTGCTTGCATGCAGGCTGAGGATGAACGCTGCTATGCAAAGATCATTTGTACAGAGATCTTTTCTGTCATCCTTGCTAACTCTCAATTTCCTTCACGTGGCTAAATTAATTAAACACAAGCTAAATAGACTTATCTGGGGAGCAGAACTATTTCTTCCCCCCCTTTTTTTTCCCCCCCCGACATATATCCTCCATTCAAAACTGATAACCCTCCTCAGTAGGGAGTATCTGGCATTTGCTCAGAGATTAAACACTAGTTCTAGCCCATACCAAAGCGTATGCTGTTGCCCTAGCTCAATGTAATTACATTTCAGTCACAAGTCTGTACTGGATCAATTTTATTTTGTCAGATAAATGTGCAGGATAGGGGTTCAGACACAACCACTAGCACTTCTAAACTGAAGCTATTTATCCAAATCCCTGCTCTGAGATAGTGCTGCTCATCCCTCCAACTTGCCAACGGTGTCAGAGCTACTGCAGAAACTACCCTTTTTCTTCAAGGTTTTCTGCCTTTCTCCCCCAAATTCTACACATGGGTTATCTAGATTGTATTTTAACTCCTTAGCAAGCACATGATTCATTAAAATAAGGGTTGGAAGGACTTCATGATAGATTATGTTATTAGGTGCAAACGGTTTTCCATTTTAATTTTATATGCAAAAGTTGTGTGACTTCCTAGGCCTGGTTTCTGTAGGTAGGGTATAGATCCTCCTTCCCTCCTGTTGCTGTAATACTCTTCCTTCTTGGTGGTATACCAAATGTGCTCTGCAGGAGAGAAAATTTCCATCTTTATAATCAGTTGGCCCTCTTTGAATGATTAAAATGCCAAATCCTGGAGACAAATGAATTTGCTTCTAGTCTGTTCTTTTTTTATTAGAATGATTGCTCTAATAACAGAAAGAAAGCTAATAAAAACTAGGTTAACAGCATGTTGTTGTTTCTGTTGTGGGGTCAGGCATCAATCCCCAAAGACAGGTGAAATTCATCTTGAGGGTTCCACATGATCAGTTTGGACTGACAGCCAAAGTAACATGTTTTTCATAAAGTCAGACCAAATGCAAACATAAAAGCAGAACTGCTATGTGCCATATCCCTTCTCCTAAAATAGGATTCATATTTGTGTAATGAGGCCTCAATTATCTTCACAAAGTCAATTTTGCTATTGGTGGTGCTTTCTATCCCCAGGGAGAAAAATCTAGCTGCTGAAGAAAATGGGAAAGGTTTTTGTTCATATTACATTTAGAGTGGATACAGGGTCAAGTTGTGACTCCTGAAAGGAAGTTGGTTTTGTAACTCAGCAACATGCTTTTTAAGAGTTGGGGTGTTCTCGTTGATATTTTGGTAGCAGAAGACTTTTTTACTGCTTTCATCTTTAGCCCTGTTTTCACTTCAGTGAAGAAGTCACTTTCAAGAGTGTATATCATTATATATGCCTGCCTTTTCCCATATAACTTGGTTATGTTCTTAAAACAAGCAAGCTGAATTGTCACATTTCATGGTTCAATACAATTAAGGGGAAAAGAGGAGAACTGATGTATAAGTCTACATGTTCTCTTTCATTTAGGAAGGTTTTCATTTCAAGCAAAGCAATCAATATTCCCATCCTTATTCTTTTTATTTTTCCTAGTGAACATTACATAATAGAGGTCCAGCTTCCAGCAAAGATGTTCGAGTTGCTGCCACAGGAGATTAAAGAAGGAAAACTACTTCGCATGTATCCAGTATTCTTTAATGTTGGAATCAATGAACAGCAAACACTTGCAGAGAGGTAAGAAAAAAACATGTTTCTTTTTCTGTCTCAGTATGCTGTGCTAGTACAGGATATCTCTCAGGATTAAAAATAAATCTTTTTTTTATTTGCTCTTTAGACAATCTCACATTGACTCGGTGTGTACTTTGAAAAGTATTAAAGGAAATAAGCACAAGCTATGAAGTAATGCCAAATAATGAAAAATTCAAAGTGAAGATATGACCATATGCAGGACTTTATTTCATACAGTCAACACCAAGTTGCCTTTGGATACAGCTATAAAATGTATTTCTGTTTCACAGATTTAGAAGGTTTTTTTGCATAGAGTACTTCGGCCTTCTCAAACATGAGTTTGAAAATTTGAAATGCTTATTATCTTAAAGGTGGGGTTGATGATGCTGGGCAAGTCATAAGTTAGAAAGAGATAATTTTTCTCAGCTTTTTAGGGCTTTTTTCCAGGCTTGAGGAGTTGTAGTTAGTAATAGGGAATGTGTTAGTAGTATGTTTGTAGAAACATGAAGGCTGATGTTAAAGTTCTGATGTGCTAATATTACTCCTCTGAAAAGGTTGCTGGAAACTAATTAATTAACACAATAATAGTCAAAGTTTCACCAACTTATTAATTTTCTCTTCCAAGAGAAATGTCATGTTAACAAGTTAGTGCAATGCTAAAACTGTAAGGTAGACATCAACAATGAGACAGCTACTTTTTTTTTTAACTGGTTTTATTAACAGTGTCCAAGAGACATAATATATATATCTTTAGATTGCATTCACTACAGACTCAAAAGCAAAAGTGAAAATGTAGCTGGGGAAATAGAGGGAGATGGTGAAAAAAACATTGACCTGGACAATAGGCAAGAAGATAAACACAACAGGAGTTTCGTGTCCTATTCTTTGTAGACAGCAGAGTAAAAGCAGTCTTATAAGGAAGATTTCTAAGGAATGCCATCAGGTAGCTTTGTGGATGTTTATGGGAATTAATGAAAAATTGATACATGTATATCTATAAATACAGATATATATTAATAGCTATATCTCTCAAGCAAATCAAGTTGGATTATTCCATGCCAAAACAGCTTGTCCACGTGCACTTACAGGTGTAAACATTAGATCTAATGCAAAATATTGCTTAAATCCTAATGTTGCAAATTTGTTTTTGAGATTGGAAGTGCTGCACGTGGGTTTTGGTAAGAAATATTTTTTATGGGAAAATGAGAGTATCGTTTTCCCATAAAAAATGATCAATTTTTGTGATCAATTTCTAGAAAATGTTACTTTATTAGATGAAAACGTATTTTCTTTCAATAAAGCATAGTTGAGAATATGTCTGATTTAAAAGTGATATTCTCATGTGGTACTTCAGCAGTGACTACTGAGGAACTAGCCGAGTCTTCTTCTTTGTCCTATTTAAATATTTGATTCTCATGATGTAGCAGTACATTTAGTGTCTTCTGATTTGTTTTCCCTTTTCTCTACCTGAATTTCTCACTTAACCTATCCATGCCTCTCCTTCTGTTTTTTTGGGGTTTTTTTTGTACAAGCTGCAAATACTTGTCCCTAACTGCCTAAGGGACATTCCTGTCTTTACATTCATACCTCTTGTAGCAGAGGAAGCAGGAGGTTTATGGGGGTTTTTTAGCCTATGTGAAACTTGACTGTTGGAGAAATTTTGCTCTCAGGGAGAAAGATATTTGCCTATACAGCTATAGTCTGTTTGTGGATAAGTGTAAGGGCATCTTGATGTTGTCTGGGTTTTCTGTGAGGTGCAGGATAATGAGGGTTTGGGTGATGTGTTCCCAGCAGACTTGACTCCTGCAGGAAACCCCAGAACATACTCCTCAGCCAGCTGCAGCACTGTACAGTGACTGCTAGAGTCTGTGTGCTGCAGCAAGCTTAATTGCAGATGACTGAAGCCAGCTAGCCACGGGTCATAACTCTGTGAAGCTTAATGGTGAAATCACTGCTCAACAGCAAAGAAATGGTTCTCATTAGTTTCAGATACAAGAAACCAAGATAACTAACAGCTCAGGAGCAGTGTAGGGCAGAAAGGGCCCTAAGAAGTAATCAACTTGACTATTTATAGCAGATATTCTCAGACCAGAGCAGAAATCAGTTATTCAGAAGGTTTTCTACCTGGCACTTGCATCTCTTTCATTTTGTGTGGCTTCAATATTGTCCAGCTCTGGTAGAAATTAATTACCTAAGCAACAGCCAGCAGTGAGAGATGAAGGAGCTGGTGTTCTCTGTGTGTGGTGCCATTTGAAATTCCCACAAAATCCCCTTGAGTTTGTTCAGGATTTGTGAAGGGAAAAAGAATATGTGCTTTGCTGAATGTTTATAAATGGATTATTTTTTTCCATAAGTTTTTGGAAGAATTATCCAAGAGTGATGACCTCAATCCCAAATATTGGTTACAAAGCACATGAGAGATTAGCAGCTATACATTTGATGATATCTAATATGTTCAACAATAGAAAAAGAAAATTCAAAGTTATTTCTATATGCAAAGAAATAATTCTGAAGGATAATTTAACTTCGGTTTGGTTTGGTTTTTTTTCATCATTTTATTGTGCTTTTTTATAGGTTTGGAGATACCACTTTGCAGGAAAACATTAACCAGGAAAACTTAGAACTTCTAAAAGAATATTACAAGCTGTTTACAGAAAAAATGCCTTCTGATTGTGAGTACAAAATAATGTAATATCAAAATGGCTTTGAAAAAGTTTGATAGGGGAAAGATTATAAGAAAGTAATATTACCACAGTATTAGTGTACAGCTTTTAGCTTTAGGCCTCAATAAAGTTCCATAAAGTTAAACACTTTGTGCCTCTACACAGCCCTGATGAAGTCAGTAGTGACTGCAGGCTCAACGCCACAGCAGAAACTACAGGGAGAGTGAAACAGAGTCATGATGAACTAAACAGCTCTTTTAAATTATTAATATAATATGCTTTTTAATATTTCAAGTAGAGGACATTCTGTACCTACTATATTTGTACAGAAATCCTTGGTGGGAATTTTCATCAGTTTCAGTAATTCCCTCCATTCTTTTTTTGAAAATGTATTACGGTATGGCAAACCACTGAGAAATCTGCAGATCCAAATGCAAGCAGTGAGCTACATCGTAATGTCACTGATATGAATAACATAGTTCCAGTAGACTAGGCCCTATATTCCAATTTTATAGGAATTTGATATCATAAACATTACTACTCTGTTACTCCGACTGTTGAAAGCAAACACTGAAAAGACTGTTTGTATCAATCTAATGCTGTTAAAGTTGTCTGAATGCCTAAACTATATTCCCACATGTTGCAGATTTCACACCCCGATTTTCAATAGCTTGGATTTAGATCTCTGCTCTTTCCCCTTGGGTAAGGGCATGAGGCGAATCTTTTGAATCTAAAGATCTGTCATCCTACAGGACTTGTGTTTAACTCCTCATGGTGAATACTGTTGGTTAAAATCCCATGCAAAGCTTCTCTTCTCTTACAGAACACGTTGTGTTGATTACTTTTGCAAATTATCCGTTACATGTATGTACTTGTAGTTGTATCTAATGTATCACTGCATATGTGTACGTGTTTATCTTTTATATCAGGATGCTTTTCATTTGTTAATAATTTTGACAGAAGTAAAAGCTCTGTTCCTAAATGCTGGGCAGTATGCCCATCCATCCACCCACCTCTCTAGCATTTCTAGGGTTTCTACAGAGTAACTCATACAAGAAGTTAGTAATTAATTTAAGGCGATGCCAATAAAGCATCCTGGAAAACTAACCTTATCTGGGGTTAGGTCTAAGGTAGATCTGCTACCTCCTAAGAGGATCTGATTATATAAAAGCCAAAATTTGCATGCAGATAGTATTGGCTGCTTTTCATTAACAGAAACTAACCTTGTACTGTCTTCCTGCAGACAGATTATTAGCAAGCCACACAGTCTTCCTGGACTTCTTCCAGACTGTGCAGGCTTTTGAGAACTACTCTTGTCTAATTCATCATTTCTGCTCTGGTTATTATTACCTTCTTGCTTTTTCTCTACTTCTAAGATCTGAGTCTGTTCTTTGTCCAAATTTTTACAGAACACAAAGCACCTTCTGGTTCAGTTACCCTTCCCAGTAGGTCCATGCCACTATACAGAATCACTCTGTTGGCTTGGAGGAATGTACCTTTAAAACCAGCTCCCTGGAAAAAAGTGAAGCTCTCCTTGTTGTTCAGCTAGGGGAGGACTTCAGTTCCTCCCCTGTTCCCTCACCTCCATGCTCAAGTCCTTAGGAAGATAAACCTCCATCCAAGCTGGCAGCAGTGCTGGTGTTGTAGGCAAGTGAGAGCCATTCAGTATTGACAGCTCCGTGATGGTTTTGTCACACCTTTCCAGATAGCTTCCTGTAGTGCCAAACCTATGCTGCAAAATAAATGCAGAACTCTGCTCACAAAGCTGTTAGTTACCAATAGTGCTCATAAAACCAGACAGAATTTGAGGATTCACAGCACTGTTGGCCATGCATTGAAACCACCATCCTTAGGCAGCCTCACTTGCCTGCTGTTTAATTTGTATATTACTCCATTTCAAATAATTCCATTTTCCACTCCCATAAACATGTTGCCAGCTTTGCTATTAGTTTTTCTCTCATCACTGTAATGCCCATTGCCCATAATATTGTAGCTTTCTCTCTGTTCCCAATTATTAAAAGCCTTCAGATGCATCTAACTGCATATGCCAAACACTGACTTTTCATCTTTTAGATGACTATGTACTCTGTCACTGCCCTGTGTCTTTATCTCTTTAATTCTCTAACAGGAAACTCTGAAAACAATAAATAACAATGTGCTTCCAGAAAGATTCCTACCAAAAATGCCAACCAAATGTAGTTCTGGTTTAGGCACCTTAATAGTGTTGCTTTTATAGAATAGCTGATGATAGTAAGGGCACAAAAATGTACGATTGTTGTTTAGTAGTACATTATTAATTGAAAAGAACAGCTTAGAACTCAATTTAAACAGCTGAAAGCATAAACTTGGAGAAGCCTATGTCACCAGTGATATTTGACATTGCTGGTTTGCTACTTAACACCCAGAGCAACAGCAGTGTTGAAAAATATTGTCCCATGTGAGAAGAGATGCATGCAAGGTTTAGAAATCCTGCAAGCAAATGAAAATGTTCTTCCATAGCATCATGCATAGCAGTACGTGCATTTTCAACATGAAGTCTATGAGTCTGTTTTATACTTGCAGGCTTCTCCACCTTATAATCCATGAGAATGATTTGACAGTTAAGCAATCTATCACATCTAGTCAGGATGCCACTCATTTGGCAATATTATAAATTAGGAGAATCTTGTTTTTTACCTGTGGTGAAGTCATTTCTCAGAGATGATGCATTTTCTGCCGTGAACCAAAGGAAAACTGCTTTGAAGCAATAGAATGTTTACCTAGTGATACATTCTCATAATCCAGAAGCATCTTCTTAGAGCACTCATGCTGTGTGTTTTAAAGAAACAGGTGCAGGATAAGTATAATAGACTAGCAGGTTGTGATGTATTTTTGTATGCTCTGTGTTATCTAATTTTATGATCAGGAATTGAAATACAAAGATAAAATAATGCTCATTAAGATTATTACAAAACTAGTTTGAGTGTATTTTTTCTGCCTTTTTTTTTTTTTTGGCACCTCAGTAAGGGTGAGGCAACTTAGCCATTTTTAGAGTAGTTCTTTTTGAGTATATTAAAATTGCTGCTTAGTATGAATCATGGGTAAGGGAAACTACAGAATTCATTAGAGATAAAAGGTAAAAGCCTGTTGATAAGAGAGATCTTTCCAGCTGTGATCAGGTTAGGAGAATGGATTTTGACTTACATTAAAAGTTGCCTCATTTTTACTCTTTGAATTGAATATAAATGATAATTGATTGGGGTTTTTTTGCACCACAGGATGGAACATCCTACTTTTTCTTGTTGAAAAAAAATATCAATTTGGTTTAATTTTGTTTCAGCTGGTTCTGAGCCTTTCTTTGGTGATAACTATTATTAAATTTCCTTTTACTTCACTACCGTAAGAAGAAATAATTTCAAAAACCAGATTTTGTTTTTACTTATTTTCAAAACTATTGAAGATAAAGGTAACATTAGAACAAAACTCTCCTGTATATTCACACAAAACAGAAGAGCAAATTAGACTGCCTACTATTGAATTCCCTCTAGATATCTATGATTAACAAAACTTCAGCTCAGCTGCCATACCCAGGGCAAGTAGGTAAAATTTTGTATTTTAAGTAAACCTGAAATTGTTTTGTATTTCAAAATTAAAGTCCCATTCAGTTTCAGACCAAGAAATATCCTTTGTTAAATTTTTTTTGGGGGGGGGGGCGTATTTAGTGCTCTTTAACCCTCCTGTTATGTTTTATTAGGAACTAAAGCATCATTTTAAAACAAAAATGAGATGTTCGATTTTGAAAACAAAAACAAAATGTTTTTACTTAAAACCAAAAAAAATCCCATCAAAGAAGGTTTTAATACATTCACTTATTTTTCTATTTATTTCCATTTAATGTGTATAATGATTCATGAACAGCACTACAGTGAGCGTTCTTTAGTTGGCACAACCCTATCATCAACCTTATCATCCTTTTTTTCCAGGTCTACCACATTTTCAAGAACAAAATGATTTAAAGGGATTGCTAGAAAATCTCCATCAAAATATCCAGGCCAAAAAGAGAAAGAATGTAGAAATCATGTGGCTGGCTGCAACGGTAAGCTCTCTCATTTCAGGTACTATCACATGATGAAATAGTTTCACATGCCTACTGATATTGTAGGTGCAATGGATTTTAAGGATATGATTGGAAGACTCAATGATTTTAGTAGGTAGATATGATGAAATAGCTCTCTAACGTTTCCATTCTGATGGTCTCAGCCCGCTCGTGAATATATCTCTCCTTCCTACAGTTAAATTACAGATGTTTTCTTTCTCTCATTTTCTTAACTGGTGGAACTGTCTAGAATTGAAAGTCAGAGATGGTCTTGGTCATTTTGTTGTCCCCTACATCCCCCAGGCCCTTTTGTGCAGAGCTTCTCCTAGCAAGGCCATCTGTGGCCTGTGCTGCTGCTTGGGGTTGTTTTGCCCCAGATGAAGGATTTTTCATTTGTCTCTGAGTAACAGGGTAAGAGAGGTTTGAGCCTAGTTTTAGGCAGAGTTATCCCTTCATCCTCAGTATGGGCAGAATCAACTCATTGGATGATCATGCATAGCTGTGAATAGATCACTTTCTATGAGAAAGACAATACAGTATTCAGCTACACTATCTAATTTTGTTTGTTTGTTTAAAATTGTATCCATTCTTTGATAATATCAAATTTGATTATTCAAAATACCTTCCTTTTATTATTTAGTGTCCATAAGCCTTGAGGTATGATGCAGGACATGACATGATTACTTGCTCTGGCTTTTGTTTAATATTGCTGCACTCAACTTTTGATTTTCTGTAATTAAGGTACTTATATTTTATAAATAGGTGTTTAATTGTATCAGCCAACTTCTAGGCAATCATGTTTTATGCGATTTTTTTAGCTAGTGTCACCATGACAGCCACTCCAAGGGCACTGATAGCAATCCAAAATAAGCTAGATATTTGCAAAGGGCAGATGTTCAGAAACAGGGAGAACACAAAGAAAAATATTTAACAAACCACAGTTAATACTTCCTTTGCTTTATTCACAGAATTCCTTTTTGTTTCCCAATGGTGGGATTTTGCACATACATATTAAAAAACAAAACAAAACCCACCAACCAAAAAAACCACAAAACAACAACAAAACAAGCCTTAGATGTTTATAAAGAGCTCAAGCTTTTCAGGAATGTGAAATTCAACCAGGTAGTTGTCTTTTAGAAGTACTTTAGAGTACTTCTCTAGAGTATTTAGAAAAGTACTCTTGAAGTCTCTGCCTCTTTATACAAGCAGAGACTTTAGTCTTCGGTAACTACTGAAACTGAAGCAAGACCTTGTGTTTTGGGCAACTCAAATGCATATATGCTTCAAGGCAAATAAATATTTGATATAAATTATTAATAAAATTTTCCATTACTTTTCATTAACACCAGAAAAAAGACAATATTGACTATGTCTTTGTATTAATAAAACTACTGTAATTTTCTTATATTGCTAATAACATTTTGCCTTGTGGTTAATAAATATTACCACATGCTATTGTAGTATAAATCTGTTATGAGTAAAAAATAAGCTTTTCTTGCAGTACCAGTTCTGCAATTACTATGAAACATTGCTTTTTAAAGAAGTAAAAGATAAATCAGTACAGGATATTGTAAAATGAACTACAAAGGATATGACAGAATTTACTTAATCTTTGGATATAGAAAATTGTCTTCCACCATCTATTCAAGATTCCCTGAACAGGAAAAATAATGGGAAAAAAGCATTCTTTGAAAATAGAAATGGTTTCAGATTTTTCCTTCACTTTGTTCTGTTTCTCTTTACATTACTGTACTGTAACCTTCTGAAATTAGCATTTCTGGACCCATTGATCTCCAGACTGTTTATTGGAAAGGCATGATTCCCTGCTGTAAGGATATCCCTTTTCTATTGCAGTAGGTGTATGAGATTCTACATGGATATGCATATGTATCTGCACCTGCATGTAATCCCTGTTGTAATGGGCCTGTGAGAATACATCTGCATTTGCAAAGTCAACTTTTGAAAATTGTTATCACTAACATTTCTTATTCCAAGCAAAATGGGACAGAGATTTAGATGTTATCTATTTTCATTTCCTAAGCTGCACCCTTTATCTTCTGTCTTATATCAGAAGAAATAATCAGAGTATTGATTTATCATTGGTTAAGTCTTCATGTTTTTATATGCTTTTATCATCCCCCCCTTTAAACTTAATCACAATTATAATCATTTACATCTGTGTCTCTAAAGATCTAATAAATGTTAAGTCTATTTTTCCTCCTACATCTTCAACGTATTTGGGGAAGTGAGCAAAATTGAGGACAAAATTCAGGCTAGACACTAGTTGTAAGCTATGTGTTCTGATATGAAGTTATTACTGTATATTTTATATTGTCCCTTACTAGATTCCTAGAGCATCAGATCATTGTGTTTGCCCATTTTAATTATTTACTTTGTTTAACTGCTGCTGTTTAGTGAACTGAGTCATTCTGAGGATTTTTCTGGGCCAGCCTATCAGGTTAACCTACATTTCTCCTTAAATCATAGTCTAAGGATTTTTAAAATTTGCTTATTTAACAGATTGTTTTCTATTTAATCCACTTTAAAATTATTGAGACACTTGTACTGAGCTCCAGTGCAAAATAAGCTTGTGGTTATGGTAATTTGCTTGTTGTGCCTAGAGTGCATCTCAGTTCAAAACTGACTCTCACTGGCCACCACTTTGTATGACGCTGTCAGCCCAGGTTTGGGATTTAGTCTCCCCTCCCTGCACCAGAGGCTATCACTCATCCGGAATAATTACCTGTTTTTTTCTTATGACTCGTTCACTTTGAATAGTCACAATAACTCCTGGGCATCAAAAGAGACTAGTGTAAAGGGAATTAATCTCTTCAATTAAGCAGTTAACTTCTTTCACATTGTTATCAGCCCTGCCTCGATACTTTCTTTAAAAAAATTGTCTTACAGTACTTTATTTAAATCCCAATGCAATTTTCCTAATTTTTAAACACATTTAAGTTTTAAAATTTTGAATTATAGGAGGGAAGAAACACTCACAGGTTCTCCTTTACTAGCCTGTACTGCTTTGGATTCAAAGTTGTGTTTAATTAATTAATTCCCTGGATGCAACTTTTGAGATTGCCCTTACCACGATATCTCAAAGCCCTTAAAGATCATAAGTATTGTCTGGGACATTGATTTTAAGATAATCTCTGATAATGCAATTAAGGGATAAAAACGTGCTTGTTTGCTGAAGTGAGATTATGAAAATCATATTCCAGTTTCATCCTGCAAGGTCCCAAGTAAACACTTGATAGCCAAGCTGAGAAGTTCCTTAGGATGAGACCTGACTACTGCAATTTATTGCTTTGCCTTATAACTGTTTCATTTTTTGAAACTGTTATAGCTATGATTGTCCAGCGGTAGGAGCAAGCAAAGCTGGACAGAGGGTATTACCTTTTCTTAGGACACATACATCAGGGGAAAGGTGGACCCATACTTGGGCACACCAGCTGTCCTTCAAATTTTTCTTGTAAAATACTTTTTGAACCCAAACAATAAACTAATAGGCTGGTACAATGACAAATTGATTCTTAAGGTGAGAAACTATCTTTAAAAATATGTCATGGTTCCATTATCCCTTATAATTTTGTCAAAATATACAGTGAAAGTAGAAAGTCTATGGCAGTCATTTGTGTTAAGCTTTAATTGTTCTGGGTCATGGGTTGAGCAGTTTACCTGTTGAAAATAAAGACTTGTTTAAATTCAGTACATAGATTTGTCTAAATCCATGCTCTCATGAGGATTTAGTCCTCGACATTCATGAGTCTGAGTTAAAAAACCCAACAAACTTGTAAAAGTTTTTCTTAATTTTTTTCACCATTCATCAGGTGTTCAGACAATTAATCTTTAGTTGAATAGGGTGGTTGTCACAAAGTGAGTTAAAAAATGAAGCAACTTTCCTTTTATAGTCTAGGCTAACACAAATACTTTTTATTTCAAGTTCAGGAAATTGGATGCAATGGTTTGGTAAGCTGTAACACAGCTTAATGTAGACATTTTAGTGACTTGCTTAAAATGCTTAGGACTAAGTATAGTAGAATTTTTTTGTTGTTGGGTCCACCATCAGTTTCTTGCTTCACTGGAGGGGAGTGTTGGGGTGGGCAGGAGAGAGACTTGATTGCAACTGCAGTACATGACTGCGTGCAGCTCTCTCTTAAAACAAGTAAGGGTTCCTTTTTCCGCAGTGGGTGGGTTATTTGTAGGCTTCTCCTGCTGATGAAAGCCCTGAAGATCTGCTTTTAAAATGTACCATTTGGACAAATTGGAAATGAGCTGTAGATCAGTACCTATAATCTTTTGATGCACAGAAAGAGAGTTAATGCTGCAAATTTGTAAACAAAAGATAAATCTGCAGTTCTTTTCAGCACAACATTTTTACCTTTTGTGGCACCGTGTCAGCCCAGCATGGGCATCATCCTTAGAATATGAAAATCCCGAAGGCATTGCTGATAGCTGATTTAACTGCAAAGACACACAGCAGCAGCTGTATGGTACAGTTGGAGCTACTACTTTTGAACAGCTATTTTCTTCTTGAGAAATCCTGTAGTTCTCTGTGTTCATTGTCTGTGACTGCAAATTGTAGGAGTTTCTCTGTCTGCTTAGTGTGTGGAGAACACAAGGTGTGACAAGGGCAATCCTTTGACATCTGCCTGTGTTTCAGATTTGCCGTAAACTGAATGGAGTCCGTTTCACCTGTTGCAAAAGTGCCAAAGACCGGACATCCATGTCAGTGACGCTGGAGCAGTGCTCCATCTTGAGGGATGAACATCAGCTTCACAAAGACTTCTTTATTCGGGCGCTGGATTGTATGAGAAGGTATGTGACGGTCACTGCATGTCCTTTGCATTTTGAGCTAAGCCAGAAACTACAGTACAGAACAGTCTAAAGCCAGTTGCAGATGTGTGATAGTCCTGATTTAGCAGAGAACTGGCCAGCAGCATGCCAGCTGGTAAGTCACTTCTGCATGCGAGGTCTTTGCCGTTGCGTGTTTTATCACTAATTAACAATTTCTGAGATGGGTATGTGAAACCTCGTAAGTGTCGCTTCACTGACTGTAGAATTTGACCAAGGTAAATAGCTATTTTAACAATTTCTTAGTCTTTCTTAAGGCTTAAAATTTTAACAACATTCTATGACTATATTAAAAAAAAGTTATTTTCTGTTTTAAGAATATTTTTTAAAATGTTTACACACTCAATAAATCATTTGTATAAAATTTAGACAAATATTGTGAAAGCAGAATGAGCATTTGTTACATATGGCAATTCTTATTAGCTCATGTTATTAAAAATCAAAGACACACCCAAGTAGGTTTGGACTGATGGTGATTGACACTAATATCTGATAAAATATTATATGCTTTTTAAAAAAAAAAAAAAAGTTTCATTCTAACATTCTAAACATTCTAAATTGCAACTATATGCAGAAGTTGAGGCTGATGTTACCAGGAATGTGTAATTAAAAGATTTCTGATTATCTGAATCTTTCATGAATAAAAAAAAACATTGAGCAAATAAATTTTGATCATAAAATTAATCCAGATGCTGTATTTTCTAAAGAAATTTTAGATCATTGGCTTTAATGAGTACTGCATTGTATATTCTGTGAAAGCTTAAAAAATTTACCCACAACACTCAAATAACATGTAACAAAAGCCACTGCAAAACTAATACAAAATATTCTAGTGAGCTTGCAAAGAAATAACTGAATCGTATCTTTCACTTATGTGAAACGCATATTATTTGTATGTTGGATTTGCAAAGATCATATCTAAATAAACCATCTTATTTAAAGTCTGTAATTGATAATTTTTGAATTTAGTATTGTTAGATTAGGTGCTTAAGGTCTAGATTAATACTGTAGGTTTACACATGTAGGGTCCTCCGAAAGGTAATGTTTACAAAGGGTAATTGAGCAGAGGACTGAGCTGGCTTGGATGTGGAATTGGTTTGCAAGGTGCTAGTATAGTGCAATGAATTAAACTGAGGTGTATCATTTTGTATGTATCATTAGCTTGCATAAATCCCTTGCTCTCTGCAGTATTTCAATGAGTGAATGACTTGTGTGCAGTCTTTCATAACTACATGTTTTATCATTAATGAAAAATTTGTTTTCTGTGTTCAATTTCATTTGTGTTGGCATTTCAAGTATGTTTTTTTTCTTTTCTGTCTCCAATAAATACAAAAGTGCATAAGCTACAGTAAGTTACCACATACAGGCAAACTAGTTATACAAAATCATTATTACATTAGAATAGTATTGAGTAGTAGATTGGAAAAGTTTCACAGATACAAACCTGATTATTAAAAAAAAAAAGCCGTGGTATTTATACAAACTAACTTGTTAGTACAAAAATGTAGTAGGTTTTTGTAGACTGAAATGTAAGTGACTGAGTGCTTTTATGTCATGTAACTGATCTGGATGCTGAGATTAACACATTAGTTATACTTGCAGATAACAATAAATTGGAGTCACAAAAGAATGATGAAAAGCCTAGAAAATCTGGAGAAAACTTGAAAAATAAATGAGCAGATGGGTATATGAGGTTGAAGTACCATCAGAAAAATGTTAATTCTGTGTTTTCGCTGTAGTTTCAAACAGCAAAATGCTTTATCTTGCTAATATCCTGTAAATGAATTCACAACAACCTTGAACTGAAGTAGTTACTATGTTGGATGGAAGGTAATAATTTTGACTCGGGTGGTAGGATTGTCCAGGACTTAAAGCAAGGGCATTGCAAGTAGTGGCAGTAGCATACACAATAACCTGCACCTTCAAGGTAATGAATAAACAGATGTATTGCCTGTGCTAGTTTCTATCTGTATAACACTGTTAACACAGCTGGAGGTTAAAAAAATTAACGAGCAACCAACTTACTTTTTTTTCCCCTCATGAGCTGGTGAATTAAAACCCAAAAATTCAGAACAGAAGAATAAAAATGTCAAATGGGCAAACATAGTACTTAACTCTATGGTAAATCCATCAAAAGTCGGTCAGACGGTTTAAGAGATGCCTTTGGGTGCTTTT